ATGCCAAAAATAAGAAAAAGGTTTTTAAAAATCAGCTAAAAAGATCTGTAGAGAGACCTCACATACTTTCTAAGTGAAGCTACACGAGTCAGATTTTCATACCAGTTTCTTCATTAATAAAACAGATGGCCCGTTTTCTTCAATGGTGTTGCTTAGAATGGGCCAGTCTGTGTCACTACAGGGATGGAGGGTTCCTGTAAAAATAATCCTGGGATGAAGAAGAAGAATCCTTTGTCTTTTTCTCACTTCGGTTAAGAAGTCTCAAGTGCTGCTTACCTAACTCCATCCAAAAGAAAGCAGCTTTGCAAAGTGAGGATCTTGAAAAGGAGAATAGATGGGTATTCTGTCTCTAGGTTTATCGCTGAAAATTATAAGTCATTGCAAATTTACCACCTTGGTATATTTGAGTTTCAGAGAGAACACAATAACCTGCCCCAGCTTCCTGATCAGTCAATCTCACAACTTTGGAAGTATCCCTACCTATGACATTAAGCGCCTCCTTCAAGAATTGCTTAGGGAATAGACTGACTTTAACCACTATCTAGCTGTCTTGAGAAGAGTATTTTCCCACTGGCAGCTTCATGCTTGGAAAGGATACAGTTTTCATCACCTTCAGGGTTTCGGGGTGGTCCTGGCATATTCATCAGAACCAGCTTTGCTTCATGGGACTTGTTAACTATAACTTCATTGAGCTTCACTGCTGTATGCATCCGTCTCACATTGGACTGGTCCCTGAGTGGAGAAGAAATCAAATAGTTAAGGCAAAAAGAAAACCAGTTTAAATACTCTTTATTTTGAGGCACAGAGCCTTTTCACTTGACTATGGATAATGTGGTAAGTTTTTTGTTATATTAACATCTCTAGTTTTCTTATTATTTAAAGGTTGTGTGTGTATGTAGGAAGGCAGCTTTTTGGGAGTTGGTTCTCCTTCCACCAATTTACAAGAGGTGAGTCCTGGTGGTCGGTCGATTCAGCTACTAAGGCTTGGCAACAAATACCTTTACCTAACAAGTTATTACCTCACTGGCCTAGTTTTCTCATTCTGTTTGCCTATTTTATAATAATAAGACAAATAATATAGAAATGAACTATGTGGAGGAGAATAAGATGGTTAGCTTGTTCCAGTGTTTAAAATTGGGAACTAATCTTCACAAGCAGACAATAATAGCTGATTTAGGTAAGATGAAAACACCCATGCTTTGTGACTGTGTTCAGGTAGTCATGTATGTACCACTGTCTAAGATACTGTATTCTAGGATAAGCTTGTGAGTGCAAACACTTACGGACGCATATTAAGTAGGTCCTGGAATCCTTCCATTGACTTGACCTTTTGCCCCCGAGATGCCATGTATTTATCCTTGGTCCAAGTCATGTGCACCTTCTCCTGGTAAGTTTCTGTCTCTTCATCCTCATCAGAGCCAATGCTAGTTAAGCGTAGCATTGAGTTTCGATCTTTCACCAGTTGTGCCTGGAGAAAGTCAAATATAGTTATTTTTACTATTCTTTTTCTCATACTAAAATATTTTGAAGACAGTAAGTTATACTGGACTAACTGAGAAAAAGGAGAAAGTATCTGTCTTTTTATATAACTGACAGGCCTTACAGAACAAGATCAGATCAATTCAGCAAGGTCTTACCTCCCTGTCTCGTTCTGTTTTGGACAGCCGCATATGCCGAAGCATCTGGGACCTCTGCTCCATCATCAGGGTGCGCTCGTATGTATAGGCAGATATGTCACTGTCATGCTGCCACAGACAGCATACAAAGTAGGCACAAAGAAGAGTTAAGTACACATTTTTGTTTTTATTTTCTAAAACTTTATTATTTTTATTTTGTGTGCATCGGTGTCTTGCCTTATGTATGTCTGTGTGACAGTGTCAGATCCCCTCAAACTGGAGTTACAAACAGTTGTAAGCTGTCATGTGTGTGCTGGGAATTGAACCTGGGTCCTCTGGAAGAGTAGCTAATGCTCTTCCCCATCTCTCTAGCCCTCCTCTCCCATTTTTATTTTTACACATGACCTAATTCAGAAGAACTGCCACTACAGCAACCTTTCCCTCCTACTCTGTTCAGTCTTCGGTTATAAAGACACATGGTTTGGGTGATGAAGATTAAATACAGAGGCTTTGAGGTTTTTCCATGATCTAATCATTATTCATTTCTTAAAACACACAAAACTAGTTTGACATTTTAGTATGAATTAAATATTAATAAACTAAGTAGCTAAAAATGGGACCTATGTAAGAACTGTGTAATAAATAACAAAGTAAACAAAAAGCAACCCCAGGAGTAGGAAGATGACCCTAAGGGTAAAGGTGCTTGCTACCACATTGGATTCCCCAAATTTAGGTCCAGAGATGCACATGATAGAAGGAAAAACTGACTTCTGTATATCATCCTCTGACCCATACACACACACACACACACACACACTCTGTAATAAAAATGTAAAGTTTCAAAAAGAAAGCAAGTAAACCAACTGTGAACATTTGTATGTTCTACTTACTTAGGTCAATTATCTAGGGTTTTGTTGGGCCTAGGTGATTAAAGCACACATTTCTAGCTGAGCAATGTCCCAAACTAGATTCTAGGAAGAAAGCTAGGGTTGAAGAAGTGTTAGTCTTTTCTATTTCAAACTCTTCTCCTCACCATCTCTACCACTTCCACTTCTGCCTCAATGCGCAGATGATACAGGAAGGTGGCCAGGTCCTTCTTCATCTGGATGCTGTTGTCTTCTAGTTGGGCTACTGTGAAGATCCGAATGCTGCATTTTCGCCAAACCTGACATAATGCCATGTGTACATGGAAAATTAGATGCAAGAAGGGAAAAGGTGATTTTTTAAGAAGAGACATTTATGTAAAATGACCTTGCTGTAGTATCAAGTATTTGTTCTTTGCTTCCTGATAAGATTGACTAAGCAACACATTAAATACTTTCTAAGTTAACACTATACCCTAGCTTGGCCTTCAGAGTGGTAGGATTACTGGCACATTTCACCATTCCTGGTTTTAAGTTCTTAATTTCATTACTAAGAAAAAATTTAGCCGGGCAGTGGTGGAGCACGCCTTTAATCCCAGCAAATCCCAGCACTTGGGAGGCAGAGACAGGCAGATTTCTGAGTTCGAGGCCAGCCTGGTCTCTACAGTGAGTTCCAGGACAGCCAGGGCTATACAGAGAAACCCTGTCTCAAAAAACAAAAAACAAAAATAAAAGAAAAAAAAAGAAAAAAAGAAACGAAAAAATTTGCTCATGTAATATTGTGAAATTGGTCTTTGTCCCTGACTTCTGGCACATAACTTGCAAAATCCTTGGAAGGACAGAGGGGCTGAAGGTGGAGTTGACCATCAATGGTGGATGATTTGTCAGTTAGGTCTATGTATGAAAGCCCCCATAAAAACCCTACTACACTGAACTTTGGAGAACTTCTGGATAACTGGGCATGAGATAGTTCCTGGAGAGCAGTACATGCCAGCAAGGGTACACATAACTCCTCTATGCCCTATGCCCTGTACATCTCCTTATCTGCATCTTTTGTAATGTTTTAAAATTATAAACCAGTAAATGTAACAAACTGTCCAGTAAATTAACTATCTAGGAAGGGAGCCATGTAAACCCCTCCGTTCTTAGATAGTTAATTTGGATAGAAGCATAGGTAGAATAATCAGGCCTTGTAGTTGGCATTCCTAAAATACAGGAAGATAATGTAAGACTGACCATCAATTTACAATGGGTAGAGTGCTACCTACAGATAATTATGTCAGAATTTAGAGGATAATTATGTCAGAATTTAGAGGACACCAAACTGCTGCCCACTACAGAACAGCTGCTGGCTTCATATGGGGAGGGAAAAACATATCCTCACTCAGGGTGCACTGAGTGCTTTTTTCAAACAGCATAGCAATGATACCATTACAAATTTAATAGAGATCCGGGTATGGTGGCACATATCTTTAATCCCAGTACTCAGGAGGCAAAGGCAGGTATATCTCTGTGAGTTCAAGAATAGCCTGGTCTATAGAACAAGTTCCAGGACAGCCGGGACTGTACCTGAAACTGATACATTCTTGTATTTGGTTTTTTTGTTTTTTGTTCTTTCCAAGCACTGTTATACAGGAACTTTAGTAAGCTTGTAGGAATTCACTTAAGGTGGATTGGTATAAAATAGAACAACAAAGTAAAATTAAAAAATAAAATCTTAAAGCCACTCTACTTCTCATAAGGCCAGACATGGGATTATGGGATAGCTAAGAATAAGCCCTGCCTCTTCAGATTTAAAGTCCCACCACCAGTACAGCAAGAGGTAAAGAGAGTGGTCCAGAATACCTTGTGCTGTTTCAGTAGGAATGGTAATAGCATGAGCATGCCCCCATCATGTACAATCCACCACACATCAATGTTGCCCTCAGAAAACTGTTCCACATTGCTGGGAAAGAAGGAGACATTTTTAGCCACCAGCAGGGCTAGATGGGCAGCAGTTGTCACTCGAACTGTGCCTGTGGAGAGAAGAGCGAATTGGGATATGCAAACAATCTCTTGGCGTTGTTTCCCACCATTTCAGGAAAGGAAGGTAACACCCATTGACATTTCTTTAAATAATGCATCCTATTGACATAATACATTACACTTAAGAAGCAGAGGTCACTGACTGAAGTCTGGGAGCTACTAATTGAATGGGGAACCATGGCTTAGGTAAGTAAGGATGCTCTAGAATACCACATATTTAACACATGAATTTGTCACAGTCTGATGAATGATAATCCTTCTAGTTCCTGTGGGGTCATCAGAATGAAAAATAGTAACTGAAAATGTCAGTTTGAGATTTGACATAGATAAATTTCCTTGTGGACATAAATATAAAGATGAAGAAGGCAGGTTAACATCAGGTTATTAGCTTTAGAGGCCGTCTAACAGTGTGTTTCATGGCATGGTCTCTGCTTTAGGATGGGGGTTAGGGTGACAGAGATTTAATCTAGTCCCCCCTTCTGGGCCCTCAGGTTTAATACAGAACACTGTACCAATGAAAGTCTTCCAAGCACGAGCATCTTCACTCTGACGCCAGCCATTGGGCCAGCCCATCACCACTGTGTTGTGCTTCATGCCTCCAAGGCCACAGGACTGGATAAGGTGGGAAATGCCCTCTTTCAGCTTGGCAGCCACCACCAGCTGGCAGAATCCTTTTACCTTTTCTGCCTCCATTAGGTGCTTAATGGTCTGAAAAAGATACAAAACTTCAACTGCTTTTCCCTGGACTTTTTTAACTCATCACTCTGTCTAGCTTCTGTATTTCAATCTCTCCTCAAATTCTACATAAGACTCTATCTCCACAGAAAACTTCAACAAATTAAATGTGTTCAGTCAAGTGTCATCTTTGTTTTGTTTTTACTTGTCTATATCATCTGTATTTATATCTGTAGCTGTCTGTCCACATGTAGCTCCTCTTCCTTCTCCTCTATTCTGTGTGCTTCCTTTTCAGGTCAAGCACTGAGCACAGGGATGCCTAAAAAGTGAATACCAGACACGGTTTGATTGTCAGGGTAAGTTCACTAATGTAAACACTTGTCATGCCAGGCATGCCCTGACTTATTTTTCAAGAAACCTAATCTGATGAACCTAGAAGTTTCACTTCAGAATTTTCTCAGATAAGATTTCCTTTTTTTTCCCCCTCTTCTTCTCTCTTCTTATATTTACTGTGATATTTGAATTGTAAGGACACCTGCATTTAAGTTATTAGTGCTGCATTTAGTCAAGCCAACTTAGAGAAAACACCGTATGTCCATTTCTTCTTACCTTACTCCTCTGGTGGAAAGATGATAATGATGTACAAAACGGATATGATTTTCCCAAAGACACAAATTAAGTCAGTGGTTATCTAGGGTAAGTCTCTTCATTTGTAACCATATGCCTTTTAAAAAACTAATGTTTGTCACCTGGGTTAATGTTGCTGGAATTTCTAGTTTTTTAAAAATGGATTAATTTTAAAAATTGAGAGAGAGAGAGAGAGACAGAGAGAGACAGAGAGAGAGTAGAGTGTGTGTGTGTGTGTGTGTGTGTGTGTGTGTGTGTGTGTGTGTGTATAGAGGAGGAGTTGGACTCCCTGGAGCTAGAGTTATAGGTGATTATGAGCTGCCCAACATGGGTGCTGGGAACCAAAGTCAGTACTCTTTAAGAGCAGTCTGTACTCTGAAATAAAATCCACTAATAATTTAGTGACAGCTGACAGTTTCCCCAAACAACAGGATTAGTTCCATCATTGACAGTATTAGAACAAATACGTCTTTATACAGAAGAACCTGCTCTGCACAGGTAATCAGAAATAGCAAACTAAGTTCTCTTGATTCCATACAAAAAGTGGTAAAAAGAAAAGTCACCTTTACCATTGCTGGTTTAAGATTTAGGAACCTTCTCCACAGCCCAATAATTATCAACACAATTTCTCTTACTTTCAGATCAACATGTTTGGAGTCTAACTAGGAATTATGTTTATTGATAATCTCACAGGTAATGCTTTAAATGGGAAGAATAGATATCTCTTCTGGTTTCTGTTTGAGGGCATATGATTATTCAAAAGTCAGCACTAAGTTGTAGGCCTAGGTCGCAAAGGGAAAGATGTAACTTAGAAATCTGAGACCTTCCTGTTTGTATGAACTTAGCTTTGTGATAAGTTGGTAAATCTTTTAAAAATATTATTGAACCTTATGTTCAAAATGGGTCAACAAACACTTGTATAAGTACAATCTTTTAAACTGATTCTTAACATCTATTATACCATTCAAATGCTTTATCTTCCTCTATGATGTCCTAGGAAATCTGTTGTCAAGGGTATATACAGAAAAGCTTTTGTTTTGTTTGTCTTGTGAGTCAGGGTCTCTCTATGTAGCCCTGGTGCTTTCTGCAAAGACCAAGCTGGCCTTGAACTCAGAGATTCACTTATCTTCTGAGTGCTGGGATTAAAGACATGCACTACCTTGCCAAGCTCAGAAAAGCATTTTTTAAGTTAGTAGGAATAAAAGAATTTTTCAGCTTTTATTATATGACAACATATAATAAAAAAGGTTTACCATTTGGGGAGAGAATCACCACCCTTTTTCTGACAGGAATGCTGGCCTTTTAAGGCTGGGGAGCACAAATGCTTGAGAAATGTAGACCCAGAGACAGTGCTCCTCACCTGCTCTGCCGCTAGAGCGTCACCATAGTTCTCCAGGAAGTTCCCCACGATGACAGAGCCTACAATAGTGAGTCCCTTTCCTGCCTTGAGCTGTGAGGCAAAGGTGAGGAGGCGAGGGTGCTTGACATGTAAGTCTTCATCCAGCTTCAGCAGGACAAGCAGCTGAGGCCTGTCAAGAGGTGAGGGAGAAGGCATATGGGTGTGGGAGACAGATAGCAACTTCATCCTTTACCTCAGGAGGTCCTTACAAAGCATTCAACTTTGACAGAGGGATAGAATCAGTGGAATGGTAAGCTGAGAGTTCTCGGTTATTTTGAATGTTCTCAGTATTATCTGAAACTGGCCAATATTCATTGAATAACAACAATAAATACATAACAGTAAGTAAGGCAGCAAGGTTAGGGGATAGTTTAAAACTTGACAGCCACTCCTCAAGCCACATAATTTCTTTATCTGGTGATCAAGAGGGTACAGCTGTGTGTGTTAACTGTGGGCAAACACTACTAAGCTCTGCTTTGTGATGGCTTTACCTCCAGTTTTTAGTGTGAGGAGGTCCTTCCTCTAGGCGGAGCAAAGCAAAGCGGGCTGCACTGAGCGACAGCCCACGGATACCATCGCCCCATTCTTTCTCAGCCCTCGGGAGAAAAAGAAAAAAGAGGGATAGTCAGTTTACATTATAGTGAGTAGTTAAAAAAAAAAACCCAAGATTTTCAAAATCTAACAGTAAAATATGTACAAGGTAGAAGATTAAAACTCATGGTTATAGTTTATTTGTTGTCCCTTACTTGCATGGGGAACCCACTGTGAGATCGACTACTCTACAGATGGTCCACAATACAGGCTGACAGGGTTACTCACTTAACCCTGTGTGGATCTATTCAAACACAACTATGTGGAACAGTAATTCAGATTAGGAAATTACTTGTAATTGTGATTTTGAAAATAATGGAAAGTAAAGCCAAAGTAATCTGAGTCAGTATATAATTTATTCCCATTTTTGGAGGTTGTTTGAGGTTTTGGTTATTTCAACATTATTCACGATTAATTATACTTTAGACTATCCCTTCTTTAAAAAGGTTAGCTAAGCTGTTTACATTTGGGTTATACTTTTAAAAAGTTATCTATGTGTATGTGTGGATATGCTCGTGTATGTTCAAGTGTCTTTAGAGATCAAATTAGGTGTCAGATCCTCTGGGGCTGGAGTTACATGTGGGTTGAGAGCTGCCCTTTGAGTTCTGGGAAACAAACTATGGTCCTGTGAAAGAGTAGTAAGTGCTATTAACCATTCAGCCATCATATCTCCAGCTCAGCATTTTTCTTTTCCTTTTTGATGAGGGAGAATCTTGATATGTAGCCCAGGTTGCTTTGTATTTGCAATCTTCCTGCTTCAGCCTCCTGTCTACTGTGACACTATGCATGGCCAAACCAGCCATTCTTGACTGCCCCTTTCAACAGTGACGAAGGTAAAATTCAAACTCACCCTTGGTACTCAATGTACTTGTAGATCATGCCAGCTATTACCATAGCTACAATGGCATAATACCAAGAAGAAATGAACATCAGAGCTAGACAGATACTCATTCCCATGAAAGAGAGGGCCCTGGAAAATGAAAATCAAAAATATAAATCAAGAAATGTCTTAAGCAGCAAGGAAAGACACCAGTTTGAGGGGTTCCTAGACTATGTTGGAGACTGTTTATGTATGTAAGTGTGTGTGTGTGTGTATATATGATATAATATATATCAATGTATGTTATATATTTATATATAATTAAAATAACATGCAATGCACAATTATATAAAATATGTGATTAACATAAATTATATTAATATTAAATTATATAATTAGTATATATCATATTCATCTGATATATTCTAATATATACTATAATATATTAATACATAAGTGTTAATGTTAGTAAATATTAATTTCCAGTTAATTTCAGACAGAACTTGTGTTAAATATAATGAAAACTGTTATTAGAAAAAATCCTTATGTTTGCTGTAGCAATGACTCCTACTTTTTCTTTTCTTCTTTCTGGTTCTGTGGCTCAAACCCAATGCCTTGTACATGTAGACAGGTCATCTATCTCAGCCTTCACACCAGCCCATATGAGATAAACCCTATGACTTCCTGTGTCTGGACAATCATGAACTATGAAGAGGGGTGCTACAGTGCTATCTGCCTCAAGGAAAATTAGTACTTATTTGGAAAAGCAGGAATTGAATACCATCAGGAATCTGAAATGTGATATTAAATATTTTTCTTGTAAGTATTCCTAACATATTTATGAATATTTAATTCCCCTTAACTGTGAAATCCAGTAATGAGACACTATTAGCTTTTAATAGCAGTTAAAGAGAAACTGGTAGTGACTGTTTTGAGCAAATAAATTATGTAGATAAAGTATTACTGAAGCCCCTTTGATTGCAGTATTGCTTTTCTAGCTCTATGATGAATGAATGTCCAAGTGTAAATAGAAGAATTGTTACTTTGGAGAGTAAAATATAACATTAAAAATGTTCACCACAAACTTTTGCTAATGTTAAAGCTAGAGGGAGGATGAGAGGCGTTAAAACCAGTTGTAGGCATATACTTTTAGCACATAAATGTCCCATCCCTGGCCATTATTGTAAGTGAAGCCAGAGGAGGGAGGGAGGTTAGAAAACAAGAGCACAGCAACAGGCACACACACGAACATAAAATCCACATGGTCATCTGATCACAGGAAGACCATGAGACAGATGACAGCTGGACAGTGGTGCTGCACGCCTTTAATCCCAGCACTTGGGGGACAGATGCAGGAAGATCTCTGAGTTTGAGGCCAGCCTGATCTACAAAGTGAGTTTCAGGACAGCCAGGGTAACATAGAGAGACCCTGTCTCAAACAAAACAAACAAAACTAAACAAATGAAAACACCAAAACCCCCAAACTAACCGTCCAAAATCTAGGATAATCTACACCCCCCCACACAAAAAAAAGAAACATAGATGGCTTAGGGACTGGCGAAACTTTACCACAGCACCATAGCTTTTCACGGAGAGCTTTACTATGTACCAGCACTGTATTAACGTGCACTTTAGCGGAGTGGTATTACTCCCTGTTTTGAATTTGTAAAATAAGATTTCAGGAGGCTATATGCTTTCAAGCAGATTTCAGGACTAGGAAGTAGTGAAGATAAATTAAGGACTTGGGTTACCTAACTTCACAGTCACATGCTTAGTTACTGAGTGAAATTCTGATAACAGTGTGAAAATAAAATCTGATGAGAAGATGCAATCCAGTGCTCAGCTAAGAGAGAACGGAAAGGTAGATGTGCAAAAGGGAGGTATATATGAACCATAAGGCTGAAGCAGCCTGTAAATAAGCACTTATGTCTCTGCAGCTGTTATTATAAAGTGATACATAGCAGTTGTGAAAGAGTAGGGAAGAAGGAATTCCAGCAACAACTGAACATCAAAATAGTATGGAGTGGCTGGCCAATTTAAAAAAAATATATTGAGCCGGGCAGTGGTGGCACACACCTTTAATCCCAGCACTTGGGAGGCAGAGGCAGGCGGATTTCTGAGTTTGAGGCCAGCGTGGTCTACAGAGTGAGTTCCAGGAAAGCCAGGGCTATACAGAGAAACCCTGTCTTGAAAAACCAAAAAGAAAAAAAATGTACACACACACACACACACATATATTGAGAACCCAGAATATCCTAGATTTCTACAAAGATGAGGGGGAAGATGAAGACTTACCAGTGATAGTATCGGAATCGAGGCCTCCAGTTGGGGGTTCGCAGTAATGTTTGCAAGGCACAAGCCAAGTTCACAAAGAGGTAACACATGAGAAAAAACCTGAAGGAATAAAAATGTAAACAGAATTATTATAAAATGTTAACTGGAGGCCTCTGCACTATTAAACCCTATTTATAGAGCATCAACTATTTAAAGAAACTTTAAAAGCCTTTTCTCCCAAACCTGTTTATCTTCCAATGTTCTCTCTTTTGGCTGATGACACCATTTTTTTTAAAAAAATTTTTTGGTTAGGCAGTTATGCCACACATCTTTAATTCCAGCACTTGGGAGGCAGAGGCAGGTACATCTCTGAGTTTGAGGCCAGTCTGGTCTACAGAGTGAGTTCCAGGACAGTCAGGGCTACATAGAGAAGCCTGTTTCAAACACACAAAAAAAATGTGTATGTGTGTTTTCTTGCATGTGTGTCTGTGCACCATGTGTGTGCTGAGAGCCTGTGGAGGCAGAAGAGGGTGTTGGATCCCCTTGGACTGGAGTTAAAGACAATTGTGAGCAGCCATGTGTGTGTGCTGGGAATTGAACCCAGGACCTCTGGAAGAGCAGAGAGTGCTCTTACCCACTGAGCCATCTCTTGGGCCTGGCACAACCATTCTTTACCCAGATGTTCAGAACTCAATCCATATTTCTACTTTCTTATTCATTCCCCCCACTACATTTACCTATCAAGAAATATAATTCTGCCTACTTCAAACTTCCAAACTTCTTTATTATCTTAGTTTTAGTGCCCTCACCTTAGTTCAGGCTTGCAATTCTTTTTTCAACTTCTAGTTCAATACTATGTTCTTCTAGTCCCCCTGCCTCTACACACACACACACACACACACACACACACACACACACACACTTTTTTTTTGACACAAAGTCTCATTTATGTAACTTTGGCTGTCCTAGAACTTACTGTCTAGATATATAGACCAAGCTGGCCTTAAACTCACAAAGATCTGTCTGACTCTGCTTCCTGGACTGGAATTAAAAGGTGTGTACCACCATACCGAGTGAAGATTTATTACTTTTATGTGTACAGGTGACTGCAGAGGCCAGAAGAGGGCACTGAATCCCCTGGAACTGCAGACTTAAGACACACCCTCCTTCTCTGCTTAGCAAATAACTAGTTACCTTCAAGACACATCCTACAGAAACTTCCTCTCTGTCTATGTGCCATGCTTTTGTGGCACCCAATGGTTACCTTTACCATTCTTCATTCATTGTACTATATGGAGGACTCGTGGATTCCTTACCTATCATCAGTTTCTTGAGACCTGTATGTCTTATACATCCTTCATATCCCAGTGTCAGGTAGACAGTAAGTCATTAGTAATGTACAGGTAAATGAATAGTAGCCAACAGTGAAATCAATTGCTAATGACTCATAAAATAAAGGCAGGGGCTACAGATGTAGCTCAGTAGTAGAGAACATGTTTAGTGCATACAAGGTTCAAATGCAAGCATTATAAAAAAAAAAAAGAAGAAGAAGGAAACAGGAGGAAAAGAAAGGTAGAGACTTGAGTAACTTTTGAAGTTATACAAGTTACTTGTATGTAGGACCTCTCCCTCCATAAAACCACAGTCATTTATAAAAATTAGCCTTATATAAAAGTTCTTAGGAATATTCTTTTAAAGACTTATTTTAATTGTATCCATGTGTTCATAGAGGTCAGGTGTCAGGTCTCTAGGAACTGGACTTAAACGTGGTTGTGAGCCACCTGACATGGGTGCTAAGAACTGAACTTAGATCCTCTGGAAGACTGATAGGTACATGCTATTAACCACTGAGCCATCTCCCCAGCCCCATCTCAGATTCTTCTAAGTAAAGTGAAGCCTACGTTTGGTCAACTCTGTCATCATCACTACTTTTGGATGAGTGATAGAAACCATGTATTTATCATTAAGCAACCATAATTGAGAATAAAGTAGCTCTTACATGGAAAGAATTGGGGCCACGAGATCCAGGGAGGCGATGAGAATTCCCAGCTCTGCTATGGCAGCAGTTAGAAGTAAGGCCCAGGTAGGTTCCCCATTAGCTTTACTGTGACCAAAAACCTGTACATGTGAGAAAAAACATCAGGCATGGAGGCACTGATACAATGTGCCCATCTCAGATATCTGAAGAATAACTTCATAGCAAGCATATATAAACACATACAAAGGATCTTGTGGACCTTGTACTAAAACTCTACATGTTTCTACATTTATGATCTCCTAATTCTTAAGCTGAAAAGGGTAACATTTTCCCATAAAACCTGAAGGGAAAAAGGGCAAAGGGCACAGCAAACCATCACTCACTCACCCTAAGGAAAGGTATGATATTGTCCTTGGCAATAGCCTGTAGTAGCCGAGGTGCACCTGTGAGGCTCTGAAGTCCGGCTCCACATGTTGAAAAGAAGGAGCCAATAACAATCACCCATGGGGATGGCCAGGATAAGGTGCCTACAACTAAATTCCCTTTTACAGCATCCCCAAATCTGTAAAAGAAATAAACAGTGGAGAAATTTAATTTGAAAACAACTTTATTTTTTTTCCTTTTTTATTGGATATTTTATTTATTTACATTTCAAATGTTATCCCCTTCTCCTATTTCCCCTCCAGGAACTACCTGTCCCAACCTCCGTCCTCCTGCTTCAAACAACTTTAGATTAAAAGTTAAGACGACATTCACCCAGTAATGTTTTCTTGCTTCTAAGTTTTACAGTCTCAAATGGAGTCAAACATTTATACTAAAAAATGTAAAGGTACAGAGTTTTCATAATAGCAGGCATGATGGCACATATCTATCACCTCAGCTTTCAGGAGGCTAGGAAAGGAGGATTATGAATTTGGGGACAGGAAGGCTACATTTATGAGTCCAAGGCCAGTATAATCTACACAGCAAGTTCAAGGCCAGCTCAGGATACACAGCAAGACTCTGTCTCAAAAATAAGTTTCTAGCTAGGGATATCTAACACATCGCTTACTTAGCATATTTCTGAGTCTCTGGGTTCAATTCCCATCACCACTGTGGGAGGGAAAATTAATAATATATATTAAGAAAACAAAACAAACAGTACGGAAAAAAAAAACCAAGCCAAGCTTCATTTATAGATTTCTCTGGAATTGCTATTAATCTGCTTTGGGGTAGAAACTGGAAAAGTGCAAAAAATCACAAAGCAGGAAGCCCATATGAATGTTTAAGGACATTTATTACTTTTTCTTTAGTGTGCAAGCATGTTTGTGTACCAAGTGTGTGCCTAATGCCTGGAGGCTAGAAGGCCAGAGAGGTGGTGGGAACTGAGCCTGGCTCCTCTGAAAAAGCAGTTAAGTGCTCTCAAGCACTGAGCCATTCCTCCAGTTTCAAGAGTTTCATAATCTTAACTTGTTAGCATTATGCATACTTTGCATGTTTCTATCTGTTTATAACAGTTTATATCATGTTATTCT